ATACACTAGATAGTGCATCTAGTTATTCTGCAATTCAAAAATTGAAGCCGTGATTGCAGTCTCAGGTCGTTCCCATGAAATGAGAAGATTCGTATATTTTCTATTTCTTAAACAGGCAACTTAAACATAAAGTAAAACCTATTCCAAATACATTTTTAAACTATTCAAATGATGAAAGTTATTGTTGTTTTTAAGCGTTTATTAGCAAGTGGGAACGACCAACATGGCCGCCATCTATTCAAATGAGGGTAACCGCTGGAATATTCTTGGCTTCAGTTTTACTAATAGAGATGCGCTATCTAGTGTATATAAGATATCTATGCCCCGGACATGTGACCAACTGATTTAGGCTGGTCAAATATCCTGAATCGTGCTACAATTTTAAAAAATATGAAAAAATTTACTTTGTCCATTGTCCGAGAAAAACTGATATAAATGTTTATTCAATTTTTGTCTTGGCCGGACATTTGTCGTTCCTAGCCATTAGCCAAATAATTATTTGCAGGTCTGGAGTAGTCGGACTTTAATAGTATAATGTTTAAATATAATGTTCAAAACACGAATCGGCAGAATTATATATAATGTTATAATGATTACTTGTTAAGGTTGAGCAATACTGAGTAGATCCAAAATTAGACGATCATTCACAACTATTTTAAAACCATGATCAAGACGACAGGCGTTTAACAATGCCAGCGTGGAAAATCATGGAAAATACATAATTATTCTACTAATTGATATAGGTGTAGATTTGGCTTTTTTTCAATTTTTTCCGACTGCTTGAATGTGAAATTTTTCACGAATTAAGGTCCATACAGACCGAACGCGATTCGACAACGCGACGCGAATTTTCAGTTTTTAAAAACAAATAAAACCGTCAACGGATAAAAATTTTACAAGATATGCAGACCAAGTATACCTAAAATTGCTTAAGTGGTTCCGAATATTTGAAAAACATAGAAAAATATTGAACTTAAATGTCATTGAAAATTGACAAATCGTTGCGTTGCCAAATTGCGTCTGGTATGGACTTTAATCCGTAAAAAATAAACTAAACAAAGTTATGACTTAGTAATTTTAGTCCAAAAACCATGACCAGCCGACAATTTAAAAAAATAAAGTACAAAACAAATTCCGAAAATACAGGACATCTTGAGAATTCAATATATAATTCAAAACAAGGATAATCCTTCTTTCCGCCCACATGACAGATGCTCTCTCTCTGCGTTGTATATATATATATATATATATATATATATATATGTATATGTATATGTATATGTATATGTATATGTATATGTATATGTATATGTATATGTATATGTATATGTATATGTATATGTATATGTATATGTATATGTATATGTATATGTATATGTATATGTATATGTATATGTATATATGTGTGTGTGTTGTAAAGTATTGTATTTCATTCTGTCTGAAGATGACTTTGAAATAAAGTCGAAAATTTACAGTCTCAAACTGCGTCTTGTTTTGAATTATATATTGAATTCTCAAGATGTCCTGTATTTTCGGAATTTGTTTTTTACTTTAGTAATTTTAGTTCTCGAAAATTGATATAAGTAATAATGGCGGCGTTTTTCATCATAGTGTTCGTGCAAGGAAGCAAAAAACGTCTGTTTTGTCATATGCGTTGAAGATTCCCACAAACTGACACAAACACATTTTTTAATCAAGTTCTCCCTCAGCAATCTGATGTCCGTGTTGACATAAACGTAGTTTGCATAAGCCATAAGGGCCTCCACAGACTAGCAAAATGTTGTCGACGACTAAAAATCTGGTGTGTGACAAAAGCTGTCGATAGAAATTTGTTACATTTTTAGTAGTCGACAACAGAGTAGTTTCTCTTTTTCGAAGAGAAACTCGACTTTTAGTGGACCAATCAATATTGTCAACAAAGGGTTTTTTTCTCGTTTGAAATTAATAATCCACAAATAAAAGTTGTCAATAACAAATTGTCATCGACAACAAATCACTCTAGCCGGTGGAAACACCTCTTGCACCTCCCCTGAAAATTCATGGACCTCCCCTTGGGGAAGTTTCAATGATAGGTCAAAGTGAAAATTTGACATTTTTTGGTTGCTTAGGGTCTACACTTCGTAAGAAAGTTTTTCTGTAAAATTGAAACAGTGATAGCCATTCATCTATGTGTCAAGTATCTGCTTTGGCATCTCTGGTAGTTTACTCGGTTGGTTCTCCTCCTACTTGTTGAACAGAAGGCAACGCGTGACTGTTCTAGGGGCTACATCATCTGAAAAACCTGTTATGTCTGGTGTCCCTCAAGGTTCTATCCTGGGTCCAATACTCTTTCTCCTTTATGTTAACGACCTACCTGATGTGGTGAATAACGCAAACGTAGCTTCTTTTGCTGACGACACAAAATTATTCAAGTGTGTCGATTCTCACATAGACGGTGCCTCGATTCAAAGTGATCTTGATAATCTTGAGGAGTGGTCGACTTCTTCTGGACTTGTATTTAATCAAAATAAATGCAAATGTCAGAGAATTACCAGGAAAAAAACTACCACCGAATTCCCCTACACCATCAAAAACTAAAACCCTCGCAGTAACAACAGAGGAGAAAGATCTTGGCGTTTGGGTTACTAGTAATCTGACATGGTCCAAACACACCCTAGATCGATGTGCCGCAGCCAATAGGATGCTCGGGTTCGTACGTAGATCTGCAACGGAAATCACGGATAAAAGGATTCGCCGTGCATTGTATTTGGCAGTTGTGCGACCAGCGCTGGGCTACGCCACTCAAGTGTGGTCGCCGCAGTCGGTGGAGCTCATCAACCGAGTGGAACGTGTTCAACGCCGAGCTTCAAAGTTTATTCTAGGCCTCCCATTCATGTGTGACGTATCCTATAAAGACAGACTCATTTCGACAGAACTTCTTCCCCTCTCATTTTGGCATGAATATTTAGACTTAATGTTTTTCTTCAAAGCTATTACTGGCATTGTATCGATATCTCAAAATTCCTTACCTGAACGTATTGCTCCTGTAAGGGTCACAAGATCATCTGCTAATGTCAACGCAATCTCATTCCGTCAACGAAAACATAAAACAACAACTTATAATCGATCATTCTTTCTTCGTACAACTAGAACTTGGAACTCTCTCCCGGAGCATTTAAGGCTTATTAATCTATCTTTTATTCAATTTAAGAAAGGAATATTAGCATACTACTTGACTGCATTACGATCCTGCTACAACGTTGACGATCCACGAACTTGGAAGACTGTCTGTGTCAAATGTAACAAAAGCAGAAGTCTCATCCGACCATTAACTTGCTGTTACTAGAGGGGCGTTTGCACATTGCGATTTGTCCTGTGCGATTCGGATTTTGGTGTATGAAATTCATTTGATGCCTCAATTCCAAACATCTGAATTGAAGCGAAACTT